CCACATAAGCAAAAAGAAAAAAGCCGGAAGTGGCGCTGTGGCTCAAGTGGTAGAGCGCTAGCCTTGAGCTGAAGAGCTGAGGGACAGCAGCCAGGCCCAGAGTTCAGGCCCCACAACTGGACCAAAAACAAAAACAAAACAAAAAAAAAAAAAGTGCAAGGACAGGCCCTGAGTTCAAGCCCCAGAACCTGCAGAGAAAAAAAAGAAATGACCCTGGTAGGTTGGTTTGGTGCCTCACACAGGCCTTGAAACTTAATCTCTTTAATGGCTGCATTCACAGTCTAAAATACTAGGAACTTGGCTTCAACATATGAATTTGAAGGGGATACAATTCAGCCTGTAACAGATGTTAAAGCCAAATTAATGCTCTACACAGGCTCTCTCTATGATGCCTTTTTGAGAAGTGGTCATTGGTAGAGTTTGTCTGTGTCATTCCTCACTGCATCTATGGATCATCTCTCCATTTTGTCTCCAGACAGTCAAGATAAAATACACATTGTGGGGGCTGGGAAGTTGGCTCAGTGGTAGTGCACTTGCCTTGCATGCCTGAGGCCCTGGGTTCAATTCCTCAGCACCACATAAACAAAAAGAAAAAAGCCGGAAGTGGTGCTGTGGCTCAAGTGGTAGAGCACTAGCCTTTAGCTGAAGAGCTGAGGGACAGCAAGCCCAGAGTTCAGGTCCCATGACAGGACCCAAAAGAAAAAGAAAAATAAAAAAAAATACACATTGTGTAGGTACATTTGAATTCAGGGTAAACAACAAATAGTTTTTCAGGACTTAGTCCCCTAACCCAATTATCTCGTATGTATCTGAAATTCAGACATAACTGGCCCCTGTATTTTTTTAATTTATTTTTTGCTGAGCACCCTGTATTTTTCCCATTCAAGACTGAGGCTTTGCTACGTGAGGCACACCTCCACCTTCATCTTCCTTTATTTTGGGGGGCTGAATCCAGAGCTTGCATCCAGAGCTCACTTTGTTTGGCTGGTGCTGCACCATTTGAGCCACATCTTCATTCTGGATTTTTGCTGGTTAATTGGAGATAGAGTGCCACAGATTTTTCTGCCTGAGCTACCTTCAAACTGAGATCGTTAGATAGTGGTCTCTACAGAACCTAGTAATACAGGCATGAGCTATTGCAACACTTGGTTTCTATTTTGTTTGTTTGTTTGATTGGTTAGGATTTTTTGTAAATATTTTTATTGTTATTATAAAGGTGATATACAGCCAGGCCCCAGTGGCTTACACCTGTAATACTAGCTACTCAGGAGGTTGAGTTCTAAGGATCACAGTTCAAAGCCAGCCTGGGCAGGAAAGTCCGTGAGACTCTTATCTCCAATCAACCACCAGAAAATTGGAAGTGGTGCTGTGGCTCAAGTGAGAGAGCACCAGCCAAGCAAGTAAACTGAGGCTCAGGGACAGTGCCCAGGCAGAGTTTGACACACAACCAACAAAAAAACCCAAAAAACAAAAACACAAAAAACGGTGATAAACTGAGAGGTTACCACTTCATAAGTGAGATATAAAGAGTACATTTCTATTTTTCCCTCCTATCCCCAACCCACAACTTGGAGTGTTAATTTTCCACATAGTGTCTAGTGAGTATCACTGCTGCATTTGTTTACCATTTGTCCCTCCATTTCCATGCCCCCTTACCTCCACCTCTCCCTGGGTTCTTTATTTTTGCCAGTCCTGGAACTTGAACTCGGGGCCTCTTTTGCTCAAGGCTAACACTCTACCACTTGAGCCACAGTGCCACTTCTGGCTTTTTCTGTTTATGTGGTACTGAGGAATCGAACCCAGGGCCTCATGCATGCTAGGCAAACACTCTGCCACTAAGCCACATTCCCAGCCCTCTCCGAGTTGTTTTTTTGTTTCTTTTTGTCGGTCATGGGGCTTGAACTCTGGGCCTGGGCGCTGTCCCTCAGCTCTTCAGCTCAAGGCCACCATCCTACCACTTGAGCCACAGAGCCACTTCTGGCTTTTTCTGTTTATGTGGTGCTAAGGAATTGAACCCAGGGCCTCTACCACTGAGCCACCTTCCCAGCCTCTCTGGGTTTTTATTTACTAAATTTGGTTACCTTAATCTAAGAAGACAATACAAGCACTCCTCCTTATAGTTGTGTGAGGGGGAAGGGGGTGCGTGTGTGTGCATGCATATGTGTCTTGTTCCTTAGTCTTGAATTCAGGGCCTGTGTGTTGGTCCTGTGCTAAGGGCTAGTACAGCTCCATTTTCATTTTTTGGTGGTTAATTGCAAATAAGAGTCTCAGACTATTCTGCTCAGGATGGCTTCAGAGATCCTCAGATCTCAGCCACCTGAGTAGCTAGGATTACAAGTGTGAGCCACTGGCACCCATCTTACAATTATATTATCTAATAAGAAAGCTAACTTTGATCATTGTTAGACACAGAGTTGGGCTGGGAATGTGGCTTAGTGGTAGAGTGCTTGCCTAGTATGCATGAAGCCCTGGGTTCAGTTCCTCAGTTCCATATAAACAGAAAAGTCTGGAAGTGGCACTGTGGCTCAAGTGGTAGAGTACTAGCTTTAACCAAGAAGCTCAGGGACAGTACCCAAGCCCTGGGTTCAAGCCCTAGGACTGGCAAAGGAAGGAAGGAAGGAAGGAAGGAAGGAAGGAAGGAAGGAAGGAAGGAAGGAAGGAAGGGAATCTAATTTATAAACAAATTCCTTGCATGGATATTTTTTATACTGCATTACTTAGAGACAGGCGATCAGAAACTTTGAGGACTGGTCATGGCTTGGTGAGTGTCAGGTCTGGATGGTAGGTATATGAGAGTTAAGAATCTATGAAATAAAATGCAAACCGGCTGGGATATAGCTCATTGGCAGAGTGATTGCCTAGCCCTGGCTTCAATCCTGCTACACACTCAAAAATAAATAAACAAATAAATTAATTAAGACAGGAAAACAAAAAACTGAAACACCCCCCCCCAGTGTTTGGACACATTGCTGCTAAGCAAGAGGCCCTGAATTTTCCCCTTAGATGAGGAGAGAGGGTTAGAGGGATGTAGAGCTTCTGGTGTGTCTCTGTGTCCCCAGGCGCCTGGCCAAGTCCACACTCCTGCTCATCCCCCTGTTTGGCATCCACTACATCGTCTTCGCCTTCTCCCCTGAGGATGCTATGGAGGTCCAGCTGTTCTTTGAACTGGCCCTGGGCTCCTTCCAGGTGAGGAAAAGAGGAGCTCTCTGTTCCATGGGGAGAAATCAGGGACTTGGAAAGGATTTTGCCTCATTTGGCAGAAATCCAAGGGACACAGGGGCAGGACCTGCTTGTGCTATGTGACTGGGACCTGAGTGGGCCCACACTTCCCATCAGTTAAATGGGGGTGGGAGATGAAATCTAGAGACTGGGACAGCCACACCATGTTGCATGTCAAATTGTCACAATACCACAAATGTGTCCTGGAAGAGCATAGGAAGGCAAGGCTTAGGGGAGGACATTTGAAAGAGAGCAAATCCTTGTCTTCTTACTGTGATGCTCAGAAAAAGTGACCAAAGATACATTGTCTACTATCATCACCATCACCACCACTACTACAAGCAGTAGCAACAACAGCTTCTAGAATCAGTTAAGAGAAGGTACATTTGCCCAGAGGAAAAGGAAACTGGGGCCTGGTGTCAAGAGGTTGGTAGGGTTTCTAACCAGAATGACTTTACTTTTAAAACTATGAGCAGTTGCAACTTATTGCAAATACAAATATGAGAGAGAGAACCAGTGACTCATGCCTATAGTCTTAGCTTCTTAGGAGGCTGATATCTAAAGGATCAAGGTTTGAAGTTGGCCAGGGCATTAAAGTCTGTGAGATTAGAACTCCAAAATAATCAGTGGAAAGGCCAGGCTTGATGCATGTCTCAAGTGGCAGAGCACAGTGTGAGTTCAAACCTAAGTACCTTGATATAGGAATGTGTGTGTGTGTGTATGTGTGTGTGTGTGTGTGTATGTCTACCTATTAATTCACCAGGATGTTGTGAGGTTAAAACAACAAAAGCTATGAAAAACCTGTTCAGACAGGAGGGAGTATTAGAAATCTTCAAACCGTGGAGTGTTATTTATTCATAGCTATTTCCTCCCCCCAAATTGTGATTTTTTCAGGAAGAACATGGACATCTTCCCTTCACACAAACAAATAAACAAACAGTAGATGAAGAGTTAGTGAATCAAAAAAAAAAAAAAGAATAAAAGCCAGATTGACTCCTGTGCAGAAGTCAATCTGATTAAGTACCACAGCAGAGAGGGACAGGTGGGTCATAAATTTGGATTTAATCTCCCTAGTAACCAAAGCAAAGACACAAGACTTGTTTCAAGACTTGTCCCTCCCCCACTTCTCCCCATTCCTGCAGACTTAACCCAGGGTGCCTACTGTATCCAGAGACTCCTTGCTAGCTCCTCACTTTCAGAGAACCCAGCCTCTTGCCTATGTTACCCATAATTCTTTTTTTTCCTTTCTTATGGCAGTACTGGGTTTTAAACTTAGGACTTCTTGCTTGCTAGGCAGGTACCACTTGAGTCATGTCCCAACCCCTTTTTGCTTTAGGTATTTTTTTTTGCTAGAATCCTACATTGTTTGGTCTGGGTCTGGCCTAGGCTGCAACCCTCTTTCCTACAGCTTCCCACATAGCTGAGATGGTGCACACCACTATACCAGGCATTTTCCTTTTTTTCTTTTTGATTGGGCCTGTGTGCTCTCCCTGAGCGCTTTTGCTCAAGGATAGTGCTCCACCACTTTGAGCCAAGGCTCTACTTTTGGTTTTCTGGTGTTTAATTGGAGATAAGAGTCTCATGGACTTTCCTGCCCAGTCTGGCTTTGAATCATGATCCTCAGATTTTAGCCTCCTGAGTAGCTAGGATTACAGGCATAAGCCAGGCTCCAGGCATTTTTCTTGAGATGAGATCTTGCTCACTTTTTGCCCTAGCTAGCTTCAAACTTAGATCCTCCCAATCTCTGCTTTCCTTTTTTTTTTTTGGGGGGGGGGGACGGTCGTGGGGCCTGAACTCAGATAAGAGTCTCCTTGCCTTTTTTCACTCATAGATGGTACTCTACT